TCACTTTTAATACAGCACAACTGACTCGAAGAGAACACTTCACGTTGTGGCTGCTCGGATGGTAAATCTTCTCTTGGTATTATTTCTTCGTTCTTGATAAAACAAACTTTTTAAACTCGAAATTCCATGCGTAGAAACTTCTTGCACAGCATTAAACATTTTTCCGCATTATACTACATACCTTACGCTCTCTTTCAAAATAACCGAAGAAGAAGTGATAAAACACCTGCATCGCTTATCCCGCACGTGACGTTGTTCGTTCCGTATTGAAACACAGTTTTTGTTGCAGAACCGTAGTTCCAGAAGAAGCCAAAGCCTACTGCACAAACCAAGAGTGCTGTGCATTTATAGAAACGTCGGCGAAGAAAAACCACCAGGTGGACGACGTATTCTACGAACTGTTTCTGATTGCCAACCTTCCCTTGGAGATGGCGCCGAACCACCACAAAAGGGTCAGCGCCAGTTTTGGATCGCCGTGCCCCCTGCCGCCGCCGGCACCGTCGCACCATTCGAAAAAGTACACGTTATCGGTGAAAAGAAGATTGAGTGACGCTTGCGGTGTCGTAACGCCAAATGTAAGAAGACCAAGTATTAGAACAGACTTGATGATAATGCGCGCTAAAACATGTAGCATAGGCGATAATAACAGCAACGGCAATAATTCTGTTCTAAACTGGAAATCTTTAGAATACCGCTGTATATTACAGTAATTGTTAAGCATATTATTGTGTTGGGAACAAATTTATCAAAACACCATTAGATTTTTTAATGTTACTTTGTTGGGTTTATTATATGAATAAATAAATGATACACGCATCTTTATGAATGTACATTATTCACGTTTAGTTTTGGAAAAAGCCCCATTTGGATCCTCCGGGGGTTAATTTTGCAGCATACATTAAATTTATTTTGAACAAGATCGATACGGCCTGTGTTGGTTTTATTTTACTTTCAGTTAATCTGGAATCCCTGGGTGAGTGTAATGATGTCAGGAATTCGCTACATTGTTTCGGTTTCCTTCGGGATACTAAAACGAATGTATTTATTAGGTTCCACGTTCATTGCCGTAATGTAAGTAACTTCAGCAAGTAAAAATTCAAACCGAAATCGTACATGAATGTAATTGAGGACCGAGTTGAGGACTTTTCGAGATTTCATAAACCTAATTACTAATTAAGTTCTGTTAATGGCCCTTGGAATTCCACCAATACGAGGAGTTACGCAAAACATGGTTTTTAAATAAAACTAAGATCAAGAGTGTTTCGTTTAGAAGTTACCCTCAAAAAAATTCCCGTAACTACATTTTTTCTTATTTTTTTTTCTCTGCAACCAGAAAATGCATCAACACGAATTGTACGTCTTGGATTGATGCTTGCTCTTTCCAATTTTTCCAAAAATTTTATAGTCTAAAATTTTAAAAACCCATAAACACTAAAATTTTAATCCCGAAACAAGACATCTCAAACCTGAACAACGAACGTTTTATGCTTTAAGCTTCAATCCTCAAACCTCCGCCCTTAATAATCATTAGGGCTAGGATTTTAATGACGTTAAAAATCAGCGAAAATGCAACATAAAAAATGCAATTATGACTTAAAAATCTCACAAAAATGACATAAAAATTTAAAAAGATGACATTTTAAATAACAAATAAATTTATTGATGAAGCTGAATAAGACCGCAAAATTATGTTAAGAAGCAATTGGGTAAGATAAGACATGAATTTCATTGGTGGTTCATCTCCACCCTGTCCAGGCCAGTCGTAGAAACTAGGTACCTATGTAAGGTACTGACTCACTTACCGCATCCCAAAGAAATTTAATCCCTTAGTGAGGAATGGGTATTCGTTTGTGGATGACTTAAGGACTACGCATTTAGTTTATAATGGAGGTTTTAGGCTTCATTTCTAAACAGGTAAAGATACCCGGAACTAAAGTCACTAAATATAGAAAGTACCGCAATCCATTGGGCTCGTGTGTTAGAGAGAGAACGCATGATTTTTGCCCAAAAATGGCGGAAGTTACCAGACTTTAATGTTAGGGATTGTTCCACCTGTTTGGAGATATCTGTATATATTTTTATAAAACATGACAGTACTATGAAGTTAGGTTATAAAAAATGACAGCTGTTCAGATTTTATTTGTCAATTTTTTTAAGTTGGCAGCAAATTTGCCCAAAAATGGCGGATGATTGCGGTACTTTCTATATCTAGTGACTTTACCCGGAACTACCGAGAAAAGAAAAATATTGCATTGTGTTTTAGAAATATAAGACTGCATGAAAAATAAAACTTTAACAAAGGTTTATAAGTTGGCCAAGAGAAATACCGTAAAATATAAAAAAATTAGCGCTATTCCTGAAAAATGCAAAAAATTCAAAGTAAAACACACAAAAACTCCAAAAAATGCGTAAAAATTAGCAAAAAATGACCCATTGCTCAAAAAAATGCACAAGTTGCTGTCATTTGATTCAATTTATCCTGAAACAAGTTTATATATAACAGAGCAATCTCTCAGACTTTCAGAAAAAAAGATACAAAATCATCAAAATCCTAGCCCTAATTAATCATTAATCCCAAGACCGCAAATGCCGCAATCTATTCTAAAACGATCAAGAGGAGTAAGACAACTTTCCATGAAATTAATCATTAAACATCTCACATCTAGATATCACATACTAAACTGAATAGTAGTTAAGTTGAAGACTCCCTTTCCTCGTATTGCTTACGCACTGTTCAGCAGCGGGCACGAGAGAGTAACATGTACAGCGAAAAAACTGAACTGTATGAGGTACTCTCTCCACATATGAAACGTTTAGTCAAATTGCACAGGGAAACAGCACGCTGATAGTACTCTCTCGCATGAGTAGGTATATAAATAAATACTTAATAACATAATATAACGACATAATCAGCGATACAGTATACAAAACAAAGAAATATGATTCAGTAACGGTACTCGAAACAAAAGCTTGGAGTGCGCGATGCAAGTAACACATTATCACAGAGCGTTTCGTATTTGATTATTATCTCAGATGTAAGGTGTGTTGTCTAACCGTAGTTGTATGTCACCACAGTATCTTTAGTTTGATATCCTAATATTATTTTAATAAAGAGCAAATCGGTGAAATAGACAGATAAAGATTTTTAGAAGGTGCTAAACCGAGGAAAAACGTAAAATAGAACAATTGGGAGGGACATAAAATTAGAGGAATGGAAATAACATTTTTCTGACACTACTTTAGAAACGACTACCTACTTTCGTTTTTAAAAAGGGTGAAGAAAATGTGATTTTCCTCTCTAGCGAGGAAAGTAAAAAACAACTGCTGCGTTAATATTAATAATGACATTTAAAATTGCCCGCGTCTAGATTGCTATGTGTCAAAGTTCATTATTGCATACGATAATTTTTCAATTTTGATTGTAGTTTCAAAAAAAAATGTGTAGGTAATACTTGAGAAGAAAGTGTTTTTCAGCTCTCGTTCAATTGACACACTCGTTACGCTCATGTGTAAAGCCTTTGAATATAAATTTTATATTCAAAGGTAAGACTTTGAACTCGAGTTGAAAAACTTCACTTTCTTCTCTAGTTGTACAAATAACTATTTATCAAGGTACTACAAGGAAAGTAGGAGAAAGAGGAGGCTATGACATAGGTAGGAAGAGAGGAAGTTGAGATAACAAGAAAAGAGATCGAGTAGCAACTAAAAAGACCGAAAAAAGAAAAGCAACAAGGAGGGACGAGATAGGAAATGAGGCTTAGATTTTCGCCACAGGTCGGATCGAGTAAAGGATGAGGAATCTAGTAAACAAGGTATGGGAAGAATGGAAGGAAGGGGTAATGGTGCCAATTTTCAATAGGGGCGACAAAGACTATGTGGAAAATTATAGGGAAATCACGATAGTGACGATGGCGTATAAAATCTACGCAATGGTACTCATTAAAAGGTTAAAAATAGAAATGCAGAAGAGGATGACACAAATGGGATACGTGATATGTTTTCTGTGGTATTACACAGATTGTTGAAAAGGAAAAAAGGCGGAAAGGTGTTTGCGTTTGTCTTAAAGGCAGCATTTGACATAGCGGGAAGAGAAAATAGACAAGAAGTTAAAGAACAGAATCAAAGAACTGTATGGATAATTAAAATTGAGGGTGAGAATAGAAGGGAAGGAGTCTGAAGTATTTTTGACACGTCAACACTAGAACAAGGATGCCCACATAGCCCAACCCGAGGCCCAACCTTATTGAATCTCTACATAAGGGACACGGAAAAAAGTACTAAGACAGTGCCAAGGTAGAGGGATCGTAGTAGGAAGAAGAAAGATATGGCCCCCGGCATACACGAAGGACGACACAGTGATAACGGCAACGATGGAGGAAATGATGGAAAGAATGGAGATGTATTATGGGAAAGAAAGGAATGGAGCTAAATGTAGATACGTAGAAGATGATGAGATTTCGGAAGGGGATGAAGAGAAAAGGGAGTTTGAATGGAAATGGAGAAAGATAAGATGTTAGAGTTCTCCCTCCTTCCCGATTTTCACCAAACCTTTTCAATCTCAAGTAGGAGGTACAGCCCATGTCAACCATTATTTGGTCAATGTATTCTTCCTTGGGTCTGCCCTTCTTCAAGGGGGCCAATTTCTTGTTAGTTAACACGCTAATTAAATATAAGAAAATCATCCGGGAGAAAACGGCTCCCCGAAAATATCCCAGGTCCTCTTTTTTAATTAATTCTGCAAAGTCTAAAGGGTTAGCTGCAACCCTACGTACTTCACTGATATTAAAGTTGCCTAAATGCGCATGACCCTCAAAGGCATCGTTGCCCATTACATGAGCTTCAAATGAGTGCACTGATTGAATATTACATTTTATATAATTATTATATCAAGTTTAATATACGCAAAAATGGTTGTTTATTATTTAAACAATTTGTTAAACGTGACAACATAGCATTTACGTTTCAAGTTCGCGGACAGCTGTCAAAACAGAATAGATGGAGCCACCATACAGCACAGTTTTTTTAATGGAAACCATAACCCAAACATCACTAATCTATTAATTTATTATTTACATTTTAAGTTTTAACAAGAAATGCAGTAAATGACACACCATCTAATTATTTCAACCTTTTAACAATCTCTACAAGCATGAGGTGAGTAAAGAACGTATTACTTTGCATGTAGAAGTTAATACAAAAGGTGTGTTTTTCTCAGTGGTCCAAGGATGAATGCGGCCCCTATCAATGGGAACAGCAGAAGGCCTAATTACGTGAGGGTACCGCCTATAGAACGACCGTCTTCATCGCAACACGACGACCTTATTAAGTTCATTCAGGAATCTTGGAGTAAGGTTTCGCAGGAAGTCGGTAGGAACGCGGGTAATACGGCGACCTATTATCGCGAGCAGGAGCCTGAAATGTTGAAGAACTTCGAACCGTTTGACCTAGACGCGTATTGGGGAAAGCGAGGTATACAGAACGTACACCAATGATGACTAGTTGCTCACTTTTAGTTTTGTTAAATAATTTTTAGATTTATTGAATACTTTTATATGTGACACCATTTTTATCTGACGATTTACAGCTATTTGTAAAGAATCTGCGCATAGTAGACGACACGTCGTGAATAAATCTCTCTAAACTATAAACCCTGTTGATATTGTATAAGCTTGATGAGTGTCGCTTGTTTGTTAAGAAAAAATCTACTTATTATTGCGTGTTTACACAGCGTGATTGCAAAGATTGTGTGTTTTGTATGCCGCTTTAAAATGATAGTATTATCAAGCAATAATCGATTTGATTGTGAGTTGTTACGACCACTTATTATAGAAGTCAGATAACTTTCATAGATCTTTACAAATATTATGTATCTACTGTATTTCAAAAAGACGTATTACCTTTTACTTTTGTACCTACTTATATCATTGTTCTTTATTTGTCTTGAAATGATAATAAAACATTTAACAGTTTAAATTGGTTATATAGTGGTAGTTATGGAAGGGTACAAGTGCCAAACTGTACCTAGTTTCTTTCATGATCATTAAGGAGTTGCTATAAACTCACAGAGCTAAAGACCAGCTTTGAATATAGATAATAATTAAAGATGTACAGCTATAGACTATGGAAGAATATAAAAAGAAGTAGGTACTTACCGTTTACCAGGATCACGATTGGAGTGTATAGTGTGTTGCCTATAGGCTTCTCTGTAGTCAATCCGCCATATTTGAAAAGCCAAACGTACTTATGAAATTATGCTATTTTGTAGTTGAAATCTAACAAATTCTCGATAGCGGATATTCTATGCAATGATAAAAAGAACGTCGGCACTTAAAAAAAGTAGACATATCGGTCTTAGTTTTTCAGTTAGATCCATGAATAGAAAAATCGTTTTTCCGTTGTAATGAGAGTAGAAAACCGTACAGCACCAATTTGGAAATGTCACAGTATTTTCTACGTCGGCACTTAAAGATATCATTTCCATCTATTATAATAATGCGTATATTTAAAACAAGTTAAAAAGTAATCGTAAACGATTTACATAAAGCGCATTTCCACTTGCATTCATTTCCCATTTGTAAGATGCAACTTCTGTTAAAATCGTAGAAATCCGGCCACAAATATGAAAGATAGCATTGCACATGGGCAATCCATTGTTGACGTGCTACTTCAATTTCAGTTTATGAGAAGAATTTCATTTCAATGCTTTTCTAAATAAAAAAGTTGGAACTGCGCATGCGCAAACCTCAATGTTAAAACTAATGTTAGATTTTCCTTTGTTCCAAGCGCCTAAGTATCAAATTTCACTTAAATAGTTCCATAGATAAAAAAGTTGGCACGGCGCATGCGTAAAATAAAATTTTGAAACTGGCGCTAGATTTTCCTTTATACCAAGTGCCTATGTATCAAATTTCGTTTAAATTCTTCCATAAATAAAAAAGTTGGCACTGCGCATGCGCAAAACCAAATTTTGAAATTGGCGTTTGATTTTCTTTTATCCCAAGTGCCTATGTATCAAATTTCGTTTAAATTCTTCCATAAATAAAAAAAGTTGGCACTGCGCATGCGCAAAACCAAATTTTGAAATTGGCGTTTGATTTTCCTTTATCCCAAGTGCCCATGTATCAAATTTCGTTTAAATTCTTCCATAAATAAAAAAGTTGGCACTGCGCATGCGCAAAACCAAATTTTGAAATTGGCGTTTGATTTCCCTTTATTCCAAGTGCCTATGTATCAAATTTCATTCAAATACTTTTATAAGTAAAAAAGTTTGCAATTCGGTTTATAAATGGTCGAGATGCGAAAAGGGCCCTGTGAATTTTGAATCGATTCGATTCAACTTTTGGCATTGCGTATTATATGGCTAAAGCTATGCCCATATTGAATTTAATGCAATTCAGTTCATAACTAACGGAGATGTAAAAGCGATCGAACATTTCTAAACAAAGTTATCGTTCACACGGACAGATAGATGGACAGACAGACAAAGGAACAGACGGACAGACCAACCGGCAGGCGACAGATAGCAATGCAAAATTATAAACGATCTCTAGGATCGTTAATAAACGGCAAAAGTGTAAAATTATGGAACATGTAAAAAACGGTTTTTTGTTTTTTTTACAATAACTTTTTTTGTAAGCGGTACAGAAAAAATTCCTTCCTTGGTACAAGACTCGACACCATAACGAACCAAATAGCGAAAAAAGTAGAACAATAGCTCTTAAGATAAAAAACTAGTAGCGTCGCAAAGTTAGCGGACGGACGGACGGACGGACAAAGTGGCCACAATAGCGCATTTTTTTTTTATTTTTGTGGAAATGCGCTAAAAATAGATTCCGCGATTTTCAGAAAAAAAGGAAAGCGCTAACGTACAGATAGGCAACTCAACTTGCACTTAATACTCAAAGATGATATCTCATTACTTGAAAGGGTAATAAACTACCTGGCGACATCCTACACATTGATACCCCGTTCCTAATGACATGTATTAGTTATTAGGTGTTAATAAATTGCTGTAAATTTTTTCCTTTACAAAAGCGTACTATTTGAATGTATGTTATGTGCAGATAAAGCGCATTTTTAGCTTCCTAGCATGTGCTAGGTAGCTATTGCGATAGCCGTTTTTTGAACATTTCAAAATTTCATCAAATGTCGACGTTTTAGACCATTTTAAGCAACTTTTAAAGAATAAAATTTTTTTCCGTCTGTATGTACGTACGTAGGTACGTACGTTTGTTGGCAATTTTCTGAGAAAACGGCTCGACGGATTTTGTTGAAATTTTGTATATATGTTTTAGGCATACCGAACAGAAAAATAACGGGCCGGATTTTTGAAAAAAAATTTTGGAGCGCCGTAACGGCATCGAACTTTTTTTTTCAAATAGCAACCTAAAATTTTTATTCTATTATTTGGAAGACCTTATGTTCCTGTGTACAACCTACAAAAAATTGGGCCGGGTTATATTATCAAAAAACGGAGAAAAAAATTGTCAAAGTCAAAAAATTGTGTTGCATATGTGCAAAACGCAACGATATTGTTTCTGAAGCAATTTAAACGAAATTTCTATGGTAAGTCCCTTTAATAAAAGCAAACAAAATACATGCGCAAAAATCGTGTTGCGCATGTGCAACATCAAACTTTCTTATCATTTTAAGCAACTTTTAAAGAATAAATTTTTCCCGTCTGTAAGTGCGTACATATGTTGGCAATTTTTGGTTTCAGCTAGGAAGCAATTCTGTCAAGAATTTGGCACCTGGTTTTAAACCGAAATAGCTTTTGTTTTGGTCAATGGATATTTTTCTTGCAGACGTCTCAATCGACCTTTGTGAGTACCCTCTTCCGACAATCCGTTCTTGAGGTATAAGGGGAATACTATCACGGGTAGGACGTGTGTTCATCCACCCCTTTAATTAAAAGACCGTGAAGAATAGAACGTCCCCCCCCCCCACTTTCAAGTTTTTACTTTGCACCACTAAAGGTCTGCGTATGAAAAATAGACCAATTGTCACATGTTATTGTTACGCACCTTCAAAAATAGCATCTCAGGAAATAATTCGTAGTAGAGTAGGAAGAGATACAGGTCAGACGAGTGGAAGTGGAGGGAAAAAAAATAATAGTGACTTTGTTAGAAATAATGCTTTTAAAATCTCTATACATATCTATGCCAAAAACGAGTCCAGCATATTTAACATTTTTCCAAAATAAAATAGAAAATATGGTAGATGAAAGAGAGGAGGGGTTAATATTAAGGGGAGATTTTAATGATAGACCAAGGAATTAACGGAAAATGGGTGGAGATGAGAAGAGGAACACAAGATAGTAACTCAAGAGATAAAGAATGCAACGGAGAGGGAGAAGTGTTACTGGAATTATCAGAAAAAAGAGGTTCGAGAATTTTAAACGGAAATATAGAGGGGAGCGAGCAATTCATATACTTGGGAGAAAGAGTGAGGTCGGTAATTTATCACGCAGACGTAAATGAAAAAAATACTGGAAGAAATTGATGAATGCAAGGTAGGAATAAGGATAGAATCGGATCATCAATTGAGTATAAAAGGGAAGATAAGAAGATAAAGAAATAAAAAGACACAAAGACGAAGGGAGATACAGTTATGGACAAGACACTGTAGGGAAGGAGACCAGAGGAACAGGGAGAAGAAGTAGGAGTGAGTACAGAGGAGCAATGGAATAGTTTGAAGGAGAGTATTAAAAAAGCAATAACATGGATAGAAAATAATTGAAGGAGAGGAGAGAGGAAAAGAAAAGAGTAGTGGGATAGAGAATGTGCAGAAGAGAGAAACAGACACAGATAAATGGTGTAGAAGGAAAGAAGAGAGGAAATAATCAGGGAAATAATAACAAATACGGATTTCTGGAACATTTTATCGAGGTACTACAAGGAAAGTAAGAGAATGAGAAGGCTATGGAAGCGAGTGATCACAAAGAAAATTTTTGTCCCTCATACAGAAAATTTCAAGGAAATATCTACGAAATGTGTAGGAAATGGACAAAATTAGAGGAAATTCCGAAGAAATTTTGAAGAAATTCAGAGGAAATACAAGATTCTATAGGGAAGTAACGTTAGGTACTCATTTCACGTTAATTCGGAGAAATTATTTGTAAATTTGTGGAAATTAAGGAAAATGGTAGCAATTTTTAGGCATTGAAGGTAATCTTTGTCCCCTCATGTAAGAAACATCGAGGAAATAATTCCATTTCAAAGGAATGATGAAATTCTAGGAAGACAATAGTAAATTATCCTTAAATGGGTTTTATTTCCGCTGTTTAACAGGTGTCTGTGTATCCCAGTTCCAAGTACATAGATTCACATTCGTGAGTGCTCAATATGGGCATTATAACACCGTCGATCTCAGCATTCCTCGTGGATTTGCATTAAATGACACTTATTGGATCAGGATTTTTACACCGTAGAGTGTACACGATTTCCTGAAATCGGTACAATTTGCTACTTGCTTTTGACATGAAAATCACGATTACTCGTGGTTAACCAAATAGCCAAATAGGTTCTAATAATAGATGGAAAATATCCAAGGATTGACTACAAGAAAAATCGAATGACATGCAAGATCTCACAAATTGTCACCAATACAATTTTTCTTGTAAGGAAATTTAAAATTTATGTAACCCCAATCCAGTGCTGTTGCAGGATATTGTATGTCCTTAGAAAATGGTCGAAAATACAATCTTTTTGTGGCGATGCGGGAGTAGATATATGCAGAGCTGGGCAGTATTTGATTTTTTAATACTTTTTAGTATTCAAATAATCCTTTAAAGTATTCAAATACTCTGTAATTAAATACTTTTATGGAAGCAGTATTTGTATTTGTAACTCAAATACTTTCACAAATATTTAGTATTCGAATACTTTGCAAGGTATTTGAATACTTTGAAAAGTATTCGAATACTATTTCTTTTTTTAGCAAAAACCTACTACACCAAAATTTCTCGAGAAAACATTTTTTCTTATTAATTTTGGTGCGTAGAATCCAAAACAATTCCTACTTTATCGATCAGACTTCTTAATCAAAAGTTATAGACTAGAAACCAATTTCGAAAGAAAATTCAAAGGGCTGTAACTTTTGAAATAGTAGCCCAATCTTGGAACTGTTTGAAATTATGGATTCTACAGGCCACATTCTATAAGAAAATTTTTTTCCCGGGTCGATCTGAGACAATTTTTTCTTCGGGGCTCAAAAAAAGGCAGTGTATAACCTTCCTTTTTTACCAAAAATCGACCACACCAAAATTTCTCGGGAAAACACTTTTTCTTATTAATTTTGGTGCGTAGAATCCAAAACAATTCGTACTTTTTCGATCAGACTTCTCGATCAAAAGTTATAGACTAGAAAAGAAACAAATTTCGAAAGATAATTCAAAGGGCTGTAACTTTTGAACTAGTAGCCCAATGTTTGAACTGTTTGAAATTATGGATTCTACAGGCCACATTCTATAAGAAAAATTTTTTTCCGGGTCGATCTGAGACAATTTTTTTTGGCGCCTCAAAAAAAGGCAGTGTATTACCTTCCTTTTTTTTACCAAAAATCGACTACACCAAAATTTCTCGGGAAAACACTTTTTCTTATTAATTTTGGTGCGTAGAATCCAAAACAATTCCTACTTTTTCGATCAGACTTCTCGATCAAAAGTTATAGACTAGAAACCAATTTCGAAAGAAAATTCAAAGGGCTGTAACTTTTGAATTAGTAGCCCAATCTTGAAACTGTTTGAAATTATGGATTCTACAGTCCACATTCTATAAGAATTTTTTTTTTCCGTATTCGATCGGATACTTTTTATAGTATTCGAATACCTTTGATAGTATTAGAATACTTTCATAAGTATTCGAATACTTATTTTTTTAAGTATTTGAATACTTTTCAATGTATCAATCAATCAATGTATCTAGTATTCGCTTGTGCTGGACGTAAAAGTATTTAGTATTCAGATACCTTTGATTTGTGTAAAGTATTTACTATTTAGTATTCAAATACTTTTTGAAAGTATTCTGTCCAGCTCTGGATATATGTTACCGGAAAAGCGAAGTGTCTTTCCCGTCCAAATTGCGGAATATAATTACGTTTTTTTACGAGTGAAGTTTTTTATAAATTGTATACTTATTAAATGGAAGATGTTAATTACAGTCGTGTAGCACCGTCTTTTTAATAAAAATTTCTGCAGAGCTTTCAGACGTTACTTGGAACAGATCTTGTCTTTATTTTTTTGTTAGGTTATTAAATTTTCCTGCATACCTAATCGGATATTAGCATCTCTTCGTTACGGGACAAGGATATTATGTAAAAAGGGAATTTGCGTCTTTAGGAGAGAAATGTTCACTAATAATATGGATTTCAACGGGATTTTTCACCTTATTGACTAAATCAAATTTGTTCTTCCCAAAAAAAGGCAGACGTGTCTTTTTATTACAGTGTAGATCCTCATATTGCAATAGATTGAAATCGAAAATCGCCTCTATATTGCACAGATTAGTCGTTTACGTTGGAGTTTCGTATAGCAAAGGGGCCAATAAGCAAGAAGCTCGGTTTTATTTTGCAATTGTCTGCGGTCTTTTTGGTTCTTATTTTATTCATGATGAGTAGAAATTCGCGGAATGTATATCATTACCTCGCAAATTTGCGTTGTTCATTTTGTATATATAAATATTTAGGAATGTATAATTAAGAAGCAAAACCGCCAAGATTCCCGTTTAAATATTCTTCATTTAATAGGCATCTCGCTTAAATAAATTTGAGAGTTCGCATTCTGTGGACTAAGCTCACCGTGGGTCTCCCTCCGAAAGTAGCGAAAGGGATTCATTTGAATTGATACAGACAACTAAACTTACACACCTTATCACCTGGTAACCAACGATAAAAACATCACATAAAGAATAGGAAACGGCACGTCACTCACCCCCTTTTTAATCTCTATTTATTTGTATATTAGAAACTTCGTTTAGTCATTGAATAAAATTAATTGTTTATTCAATGGTTTAGTTCAATAATAATAATACTGAGATTGTCTGGATAAATATAAAGAATCTGGTTAGTATGTAATTAGTACAAATAATAATAATAGAGATGGAGAAAGACAGGAAAGAAAATCACAGGAACAATAATGGGAACAAAGTTTTTTGTAGAAAATTAAATATTATTCTTCAGATGTAAGAACAATCACACATTCACCAGACTAGTAAAAAGTAGAGAATTTTTCAAAAGGGAATGGAAAGAGAGTAGCTGAAATAAAGATAAGCACAAAAAAAGAAGAGAAAAAGTCAAACAATCAAATTTCACTTCTTCGTTTAATTCTGAAAGAAAAAAAAACACATTCAAATTAATCCTAATTTGTTTGCTCGACACACAATTTCTTTTTAAGGGTATTCATCAAATCTTCCAACTTATTAATCCTATCTTCTGCCTCCCTATTGTACATGTTAAGATCCTCCTTCTCCTTCTTCATTTGTTTAACTAATTCTTTCAAAACGACATTCTGCTTCAATACAAAATCGAAATTACTATGAGACGGCTCTCGGCAATGGGGATTAGAATTTTCCTTAATAACCGCCCTCAACTCGTCGCACTCGAGCTCCAACTCACGTCTATCGCTTTCGAGGCGTTCATTGTTTGCGAGCAACCCTTTGTGCAACTTTTCCTTCTCCAGGCCCTCCGCCTTCAGTCTCGCATTTTCCGAAACGGCGATCTTACTTTGAGTAATTAAATTATAAACTTTTTCGCGGTTCGTGATTATCTCCCCATTTAAAATATCGTTCTCGCATTTCAATTTTTCAACTTCCCTCTCGGCGTTTTCGTAACGCATTTTTGTAGATTCAATTTCCTTATTTAAATTGCTGTTGATATTTTCCAAGTCGGTGATCTGCTTTTTGGTTGCGAATCGTTGCGAGTAATGTTCGGATTCAATTTGTCCCAGTTGGTTTCGTAATTTCATATTCTCCTCCTTAAGGGACTGTAATTGGTTTTCACCTTTTGATCTCTGGAAATATATAAAAGTGTTACTTCGGTATTAAAGAAAAAAAAGTGATGTGAAATATCTTATAAATACATATCTTTCTAAGAAGTGTGCTTTGTATTGCAGGCAAGCTTTAGGTAATTCATTTCTTATTTTGCGTTTCTCCCAAAGAAGTTGTCACAAACAGTCCAGTTTTCTTAGTTTATCGCATGATAATTCTAAATTTTCAACTTTAGTAGGTACAGACGTTTTAGTTTATGAGATCGAAATAAAATTTGTTGCATTAAAAAAACTGAGTTAAAGTAAAAGCTTGATTATGTCTCAAAAGACATCTCTGTTGGTACCAACATTGAGGAACCGGCAATAAACGTTTCACCGTTTCTTGTGGTACATAACATTTCCTACACTATCCTCTACGGCCATGTGTTTTTTATAATTGTTTGTACCAATTCCACCATCTTGAATAGGAAAAATGAATCCTTACGTTTCAGTATGCAAAGAATTGTCTGTGTAAGCCACGCTACTGACATTTCAACTTTGAGAAATTCCAATGTGTACCGACATTTTCCATGCAAAATATTGTTTTTCCAATTTGGTTCGCAATCAAAGTTTTTGATTTTGAGACTTGGGACCGAAAAATGGGAGTCTATACGAATAATATTATTAATCAATGAATAATTTAAATAGTACGTTGGGTACGCCAAAAAAAACTGCACTTTTTGATTGGAATATGCCACTTTCTGTGGTAATCGTTAATACCAAAAGGCAACTTTTGAGATAGGGAGCCACTCGAAAATCCGTGCAGGAAACCAAAATGGTGGCCGTCAAAATAGCGCCATTAGCCGCAATATATTTTTTTGTATCTCTGCTCCTAATAGTTCGATTTTAATTTTCTTTTTTTTTATTGAAAGCTCTTGTGGGAAGGAAACTTTTTTGGTATATAACATTTATCTCTAAAACTTAAGGATTTAGCATAATTTTAAAAAAAGTGCTTTTTTTACGAATTTGAATCACAAGTAAGCCCAACCCGATTTTTATGTGTAACTTGTCCACGTCAAATGTTAATATGTAAGGATTTGTATTATTCAGTACAATATTCTGACTCTTAAGGTCTGATGATGAATCGGTCTATACGATTCGAAGTCGATTAGCTAAAGAAATATTAAAATTCAATTATTTGAAAAACGACTTTTATTGTATAATTTGTATCGACAAATAATTCACTACGTCAAGAAAATAGTGGTTGCTATTTAAAAACAGTATGCCCCCTTTGACCGTGCAGAAGTATGCTACTGACCCCAAATTGAATGTACGTGGATTGGTAGCAAACTTTTTATAATTATGGATGTTATAAAAAGCTTCTTTAAAAAATGTTTTGAAGATAAAATTTTCACTCTATATAAAAAGCATATCCGGAAAACGGTTAGCCTCGCGGTTAGCATTACGAAAAAAACCGATAAGACCTACAAAAATAATTCTTTTGTTAAGGGATACCCGGGGATACCTATAAAAAAATATCAAAATGTATAGGCTGCCCTCGAGAAAACACCCTATATACCTAAAAATAGGTTTTAGGCTTCCCCTCAGGCTTCTCGTACCAACAAACCGTTATCATTAATCTCAACCATTGAGGCTCTATCGTCCGCTTACAGAAGGTGGATTCCCTGTATAATAAAAATGGTTCAACTTATATGAATAGGTATCTAAAACTTGGAAATCATAATATTCCGTTAATATTCTTAAAGAAAACCCTCGAAAAAACCCACGATCTGATAAATAAGCACTCCAAATTTCACATTCGTCGTAGCTTAAACCAACTAGTTAAATAAAATAGGATAAGTAAGAGCGAGAGTAAGAGTTAAAGTTGATATACTGAGTGTTTATTTAATTACTTTAAAAGCAGAATGTATTTTCTGTTTTTCAGAGAAAAAAATTGACGAGGCTTTTCCTTTCAATTTTCATAATGCTTGATCTCGTGCCTGATGAAACAAATATCGCGCATTTTTTCAAAAAAAAAACATGGCGGATTGAAATTTTCAGAACTTGCAGGGTAGATACAAGGAGTTTTGGGGTTGTATCGATTTAATTTCTAAACGATGGCCTTTTTTGTCGAAAAGACCGGGTTATTGCACAATTAAGAGCTTACTTGTGATTCAAATTCGTAAAAAAAACACTTTTTTAAAATTGTGCTAAATGTTAATAACTAAAAAGTTTCCTCGTCACAAGAGCTTTCAATAAAAAAAAAAGAAAATTAAAATCGGACTATTAGGAGCAGAGATACAAAAAAATATATTGCGGCTAATGGCGCCATTTTGACGGCCACCATTTTGGTTTCCTGCACGGATTTTCGAATGGCTCCCTATCTCAAAAGTTGCCTTTTGGTATTAACGATTACCACAGAAAGTGGCATATTCCAATCAAAAAGTGCAGTATTTTCCCTATTCTAGCCATGTACCCGACGTACTAAAAGGGTAAAATAATTTCGTAAAAGATTTGCATGATTTTTACCTACATAAATTATATAAATTTGTTAAATCACGTCCTCCATATTTTCTTTTAATATAAAGCCTTTCAATACAGGTTTTAGTATGTAGGTAATTACATTTTCTTAACATTTTCCTAGTTATTATCAAAAATTTCCTAAATGGCAGAATCTTCCAAGTTCGAGTAGGGCCCATAGATTCTAATAAATATACATCAGACACGAGAATCCCTCAAGGTTCAGTTGTAAGTGTAACATTGTTCTTAATGGCAATGAATGATATAACAACAAATAATACATATCCCGTAAAATCCCTGCTTTATGCAGATGACCTTGTTATCTATATATGTCCGGCAAAAATACGAACCACATACAAAACGAATTACAACTAACCTTAAATAGTCTAACCATGTGGACACAAACAACAGGATTTAATTTTTCACCTGAAAAACAAATGCATAAATTTTAGTAAAAAAACATCGACCTCAAAATCCTAATCTTCACCTTAACAACAAAAGCCTCATATATATAGAGAAAGTAACAGACTTAGGCATGATATACTTGATAGACGACTATCCTGAACTGCCCACATTAAAAAACTGAAAGCCGATGCAAACAAACCTGAAACATTTTGAAAATAGTCTCTCATCATTCATGGGGTGCAAATGAAGAAACCCTAATGGTACTCTTTGAAGCTCTAATACGAAGCAAAATTGATTACACTAGTATAGATCCAAAACATTAAAAGAAATCGACGCAATTTATAACGTAGGATTAAGAATGGTAACGGGGGCGCACAGAACAAGCCCTCTTCTGAGTATATGCTGTATTTCTGGAGAACTTCCTCCGAATCTTAGAAGAAATTATCAGCTTATAAAATATTTCATATCTCCAAAGGCAAATCCAAATCATATTAACCATAATTTATTACAACACTCTCTATACTAAAATAAATACAAATCAAAACCAAGAACAACTCTCCCTATCCCTATTAGAACAAAAGAAATTATGAATAAACTTAACATCAACTTACCACCTACTTACTCTTGTACCGAGAAAACTCTACCTTGGCTTATTGAACTACCAGAAATAAATATATCTCTCTCCAACCTCTCCAAACAACAAACATCCCCCAACAATATATAAACAAATGTTTTACGAAGTTTTAAATAAATTGAGTGACATTAGTTCGATCCCTACTGCAGAACTCTTCGCCCTCCAACACATCCATAGAAACCTACCACATAAATATCTGCTCATAACAGACTCTTTAGTGACAACCATCACTTAAACGACATACACACACTATTTACCAAAATAAAATCCACTAATACAAAATTAACCGTGCTCTGGATCCCCTCACACAAAGAAATTCGAGGAAATGATGAAGCCGACTAAAAAACCAAGTTAGCTACAACGCCTACAACCCTAAATGAAATAGCAAAAAGCTGCACCATGAACGATGTAAAAAACTCCATCAAACCCAAAATAATGGATAAATGGAACAATAACTGGCAGGCAGTAGAACCAAACAAACTGCGAATCATAAAAACCGATACAAAAAGATGGATTCCAACGAACAACCGCAACCTCATTAATTACATCATAACACAAAATCATCAGCAAATAACTGGAGAATTACTTGCAAACAGTTTCAATAACTACTTTATTTCAAGTACAAACAACTTAAAAAATAAATTTAGTCATAAAGTTGATAGAGAATATATCAAAAAACTTATTCCCATAAATAAGAAAACATTCTTTTTAAGCCCAGTTTGCAAAGACGACGTAAAAGGTGCTATAAAAAAACATTCAAACTCTAACGCTTCTGGTGACGATCTCTATTCAAACAGACTAATAAAAAATTGTGAAGATAGTCTTTTAAGTCGCCTTACTCATATAATAAATTTAACTTTTAAATTCTCTAAATTTCCAACCAAATTAAAACACGCAGTAGTACTTCCCTTCTTTAAGAAAGGCGAAAAAAGTGAATTTCAAAATTACAGACCCATCAGCTTAGTTTCTTCTTTCTCAAAAATTATTGAAATCATTGTTAATGATAAATTAATGGCGTTTTTCGTAACAAATAACCTTCTTAATGATAATCAGCACGGCTTTATGCGAAACAAAAGCGTAGAAACATCACTCTTCGCAATTATCAACAAAATAGTCGAAACCATTGCTAATAAATGTATTGCGTTAGGAGTTTTCATAGATATGAGCAAGGCTTTCGATTGCGTAGGTAGACCATACAATTCTGTTGGAAAAACTGGAAAGATACGGTATACGGGGTGCGTGTTTGGAGTGGTTTCAATATTTAGAGAATAGATACCAAACAGTACGATTAATTGAAAACAATGAAATTGTCCTATCAAATAGATTGAAAGTTAAAATGGGCGTGCCTCAAGGGAGTGTATTAGGACCAACACTGTTCATTATATACGTAAACGATCTGCTAAATCTTTTTACTTACAACCCTAACATTCACATCACTACATATGCGGACGACAATAATATATTAATTACCTGTCCAAAAAGTAGC